TGTGCTTTGAATGACTGAGGTCCTTAAAGGGAAGAATATTGCAGGAGAAGAAAAGAGAGGAGAAAGACTATCCTACCACTGAATACTTGAAAAGGGGACTCTGGGAAAGAAATCCTCCAGTACTAACTTTTAAAAAATGTTTTTATATAGAATAGTTTATTTTCTATAGATCATAGATAGAATCTTGGTGATACAGACAGGTAAATTATAGATACACAGGATAGTTGTAGGATCCATATTCATTTAGTTTTGTTGTTTTTTGTTTGTTTGTTTGTTTTTAGGCAATTGGGGTTAAGTGACTTGCCCAGGGTCACACAGCTAGTAAGTGTCAAGAGTTTGGTCTGAGGCCAGATTTGAACTCAGGTCCTCCTGACTTCAGGGCTGGTGCTCCATCCACTGTGCCACCTAGCTGCCCCCATTTAGTTTAATAATATGTCTGGCTTCTCTCTTCAGATATCTCCTTGTTTCCCTCCTAGGTCAGCCATTCTCTCTCTCTCTCTCTCTCTCTCTCTCTCTCATTTGGTCTCAGCTTGCATTATCACAACATAATGTTCCCTTCTGGGAGTCTGACCTGCAGAGAAATCAGAAGCAAGAATGGCTGGTGTGGCCAACAGATGATATTTCTTTTTTTTTAATTAAAAAAAAATTTTTTTTTCAGATAATATTTCATAGTTTCAACTTAGAGCTGAAAAAAGACTGAGAGGCTGCAAGTTTGAAAGGAGCCCACTTTTCCTAGTGTTCCTCAGTGGTGATTACATCCTTTCCTTAGCCCATTGCTACTGTGCGTCCTTGCACTAAAGCTTGAGTATCTCTGTGTCTATTGTCTTCACCTTGTGGTGGCAGAGTGAGCACAGTTCTGGACTTAGAGCCAGGAGACCTGGCGCCAACCTATCTCTGACCCTTCATTAGCTAGCTGTGTGATAATGGGCAAATTGCTTCACTTTATCTTTAAAGTGGGAATAATAATTCCTGAATTACCTACCTCACATTAGTTATAATGAGGAAAGCATTTGGCAAACCTTGAAACACTATGTAAATCTGACATTATTTCTATGACTTTGTCAGTGTTGGTACTAGCACCACTGACAGACATTGAAACTGTTCTTTGCTTTAGTCAATGAACTCTGTGAGCTGTTATGGCCAAAAAAAAAAAAAAAAATGTCACTGCCTAGTGGCCAACGACCACTTGTCCTCTCTCTGTGAACCATTCCAGACATAGCTGGGGTGATACTATGGACCAAGATACTCCCATAAATTATGTCAAGCATTCTCTAAATTCTGCACCTCCTGACTTTTCCCTTCTCATTCTCTAGTCCCTCTGGAGATTCCAGGGCCTCAAAAACACTCTCCAGGTATATGATAAGAGACCAAGTCTCTAGTTTCCCTCCTGGGATCACTGCACTAAGACAAGAGCTTCTTGATCTCTGGTAGAACTATAGACATGGGGCCAATCTATAACTCATTCCCCAAATGATAATCATTAATAATAGCCAGCATTTTCATGCACTTTAAGGTTTGCAAAACACTTTACAAATATTATCTCATTTTATCTGAAGGTAGGTGCTGTTATTTATCTACACTTTCCAGATGGCGAAAAAGAGGCAGACAGAGGTTATATCTTGCCCAAGGTCACAGAACATGTAAGTAAGGATTTGAACTTTGATCTTCCTAACTCTGTCCTCTAGTGACACCTTGGTGCCAAACTCAACACAGAATTGGCTCCAAGGAACCAGTCTCAGAGTCATGCTGGTTATGCCAGTTACTAAGTGGGTTCCCTGTTAAGAAAGTCTTCCTTTCTTCTGACACTCACCACTTTATACACGTGCAGTCAATGATTTCTCCCTCTCAGTCTCACTTTCCACGTCACCATTTCTATAACCACTTGGGCTGGTTTTCAGTGCCTACTCCACCCCCTCACCCAGCAGTTGAGAGATATCCTGACCACTCCTTTATAGCTTCAGGGAAAGTGGTAGGGTGGGCATCAATGATAGTAAACAACTATTCACAAATTGCTTTACCCACAGGCAGATGTCTTCCTCTGGGTTTTCTAGCCTTAACAACTGGTCCTTAGACAATAGACATAGAGCCCTTTTACCTTCAGCCTTTCTTAATTGGCAGGAGAATACCTCACTTCCACACGAGGATGAGGTAGGACTTCATGTTAGTAAAAAGCATAAAATTATTTTTAGGAGCCAAGAGATAATATTATCAAAATCCTATTCAACTCAACTCAATACCCAAAAAAAAATTTTTTTTAAATTTCTACTATGTTTAAGACATTGTAGTCAAATTATAAGTGTATTTGTATGCAAACTCTGCAACAGACTTCCTATTTGCTAATAGCTAGAAAGCAAGACTGTTGAGAGTCCATTCACTATTCTCCAGCCCTCTGAATATATGTGGGATTCTATAGGAAGCAATGACACATGGTATAAAAAGTAAACACTCATAGTTTGAGTCATCTTTTACTCTTCCCCCTCCCGCCTTCTTCCACATCCAATCAGATTCCTAGATCTATGGATTCTTAATAGGTCACTTTTATATAGCACTTTAGGGTTTACAAAATTCTACCACCCCCACAGTAACCCTGTGAAGTAAGTAATTCATGTTTAATTATTTCCATTTTATAATTGAGGGAACTGAAGCTCAGAAGGGTGAATTATTTGCCCATTATAGCACACTTACAAAGTTTAAGAGTCAGGAGGTGAACTCAGGGCTTCTGTTTCTAAGATCAGTTCTCTTTTAACTATACCACATTAATTTCAGTGTATTCAGGACTGGTCCCCTCCTTTTCATTCCCACTGCTATCCTTCCTAGACCTTTATTGCCTCTCTCCTGGAAGACTGCAGCCTCATTATAAGTCCCCCAATTAGTCTTCTTGCCTTCAGTCTCTTTTCCCTCCATTTAATTTTATACTCATTGGCACAAACTTTTGAAAATATCACTTTGATCGCCTCACTCTACTGCTCAAAAACCTTCAATGGTTCCCCATTGCCCTCTCTCAACAAGGTCAAACGCCTTACCTTATATTCAAGGCTTACCACAAAATTATTCCACCATATCTATCTTTCCGTCCTTATCTCCCACTACTACCCTATTGAATTCTAGGTTCCACCTAAATCAGACAATTTACCATGCTCTGAATATTCTATGCCACTTCTAAGGTCTTTGATCATGCAGTTTCCTGTCTCATCCTGCCTCATCTTTGACCATCAAACATTTTCCCAATACTTCAAGTCCCAACTTAAATGTCACCTCTTCCATAAAGATTTCCCTGTGACCATACCAGATGAGAATAATCCCTCCCCCCATTGAACACCTATATAGAATCTTGTTTCTACGTGATTCATCATATGAACTTATACTGAAGTCATTTGTGCCTAATTTTGATCCTTCTCTAAAAGCTCTATGAAAGGTAATTCTTCGCATATTCTACAGTAGTTTGGCTATAGGATATGCTTAATACATATCTATTGAATGGATGAATAAACAGCCAGTATTTGGACCAAATTTAGAATACATGTTTTTGGCCATATATTGAAGAAATTATTCTTCAAAATATATATAACAATGGCTACCCACATGTGCTGCTCTGATCATTTCCTAAACCCTAAACCCAAACTATAACACATGACATAGGTGATACTGGTATGGCCAAGGCTGGGACATATTATGAAGCAGGGGGAGTTTTTCTTTGGAGTACTCTCTCTGCCCTATTCAACTGTGACTCCACTGTCCACAGCCTTAGTTACTTCTCAACATCCTGTTGCAGAATTCTGCTGCCTCACTTTCAGATGGCACCTGAAATCTATGACATCATAGAGCAGAGCTTCCCTATTCCTCACCTGCTTCCTGACCAAAACTAAGACCAGACAAACGGTACTTTGCCCCTGGATGCTGAAATTTAGAAGGGGGCACTGTCAGCACTTTTAGACCTTAAGCAGCTTTAAAATTAAGCTTAAAGCTTAATTAACAAGTAGAATTGGTTAAAATATGAAGCAATCAGGTTGGTAGCTTCTCCTCCCAGCAGCCACACCTCACTTTAGTTCCTAACTAGCCTCACTCTACTTCCTTATCAATAGAAGCCCTATGGTATGCTGTTCTTTTCTCTCTACTCCCTACCCCTACCTGTAGGTGGTATTAGATAGATTGCCAGACCTGGAGTCAGGAAGACTTGAGTCTGAATGTGGCTCAGACACTTCCTAGCTGTGTGACCCTGGCTAAGTCACTTAACCACTGTCTGCCTCAGTTTCATCAACTGTAAAACGGAGAAAATGATAGCACCTTCCTCCCGGGGTTGTTGTGAGAATCAAATGAAATAATATTTATAAAGCACTTTGCACAGCACCTGGCACATAGTGTTGCTGTCATTCAATAATATCTGACTTTTCATGATCTTGTTTGGGATTTTTTTGGCAAAGATACAGGAGTGATTTGTCCTTTCCTTCTCCAGTGGATTAAGACAAACAGAGGCTAAGTGACTTGCCCATAGTCACATAGCTAGTGAGTGTCTGAGGCTGGATTTGAACTCAGGTCTTCCTGACTCCAGGCCTTGTGCGCTATCCATTGAGCAACCTAGCTGCCTCCACATAGTAGTTATTCATAAATGCTTATTTTCTTTCTTTTTTCCCTCTCTAAATCAAAGAATCATAGTCTAGGGGTGGGGAACCTGTGGCCTCGAGGCCACATGTGGCCCTCTAGGTCCTCAAGTGAGGCCCTTTGACTGAATCCTGTTCTATGAAGTTTGAATTTAGTCAAAGGGCCTGACTTGAGGACCTAGAGGGCCACTTGTGGTCTCAAGGCTACAGGTTCCCCCACCCCTGGGTTAGACCTTACAGAGGCCTTGCACATAAATCAGTCCAACTCACTTATTTTATTGGTTGGCCTAGAAAGATCAAACTTTGTGTGATTTGCACAAAGTTTAGACAGCAAGCCACGACAGCGCCACTGAATGAAAAAGAAACATGAATCAGGACTTCTTAGCTTAATCGCATGGCACTTTCTAGGCATTTTAATTAAATGACCCAGAGGGAAGAAGTGGGGAAAATACAAAATGGCACAAGTGGAGATCACTGTGGTATCACGCAGGTACGGGAGTCTTGTGCGTCTCAATGGCAGGTGCAAGTGAGGAACCTGGTACATGAACATTCAGGAGGTCAAGTTCATTGGCAGCCTCTTTGTGAACACAAGCTTGTGCAGAGAGTGGGGCTGGTCATCCCAACAAGAGTTACCAGTTGATCCCTAGAGTTCAGGGGTATGTGTTGGAGCCAAAGGGGCCCGTCCCTTTGAGCTTTTGGCTTGAATGTGAGGATGACTCCTAGGAGGACTTGCAGAAGCTGGAGGGAGAGAGAAAAAAAACAAACCAGATACAGAACCATGATTCCCAATAGTTTGGCAAGCTCCGGCTGGAGCCTTTGCTAGGTTTTGTATATACAGTTATCCCTTCCACATGGAGACTTTCCCTATTGTGATTTCGATATATTGCAAGCCGGCATAAGAAATTATATGGAAATTTTGGGGGGAGTTTTTTGTAAGCCACAGACAACACATAAAGGCCAGCAGATAATACAGTAAAAGTTTAGAAACTCAGAAATGACTAAAATATATGTATAGTATTATATAATATCAAAATATTTTATCTTTAATACTGTTAATACCCATAGAAGAAAAACATTCAGACTTCTTCTCTGGTTATGAAGCGAGGACCAAAAAATTTTACTCGGATTTTCCAGATCTCAGGGGCACCAGGTCCCTAACCCCCATGATGTGGAAGTACTGGACTTGGCTTTCTATTTCCTACCTCAGTTGTCCAACTTGTAACAGTCTTAAAGTAAATTGGTGAGAAAAGCATTGCAGACATAATGTCTCTAACTAGTAAAATAGCTCATAGAACTGCAACTAAATGAAGTGTTTTCAAATCCTATTTGGTGGTATTCAAGGTTGTTTTTTTTTCTGCTAAGGAACAGATATTTGGACTGTACAGTAAACTTTGGGTTATTTGAGGGCTAATTATCCATTTTGTAGCTCCCCTGTGCCTCTCACTTCTCCTTCTCCAATATCCTTGGTAAATGAACTAAGTTCTCTTCCTTCACAATAAGATGGAGCTAGGGCAGCTAGATTTTCCTCAGGCTGTTCCAAACTGAACTTCATCTTTCCCCTAAAACTTCTTTTTTCTGACTTCCCTATTTCAATTGATGGTGCCACCATCCTCCCAACTTGACCAGGCTAGAAACCTTCAGATTCATCTTTGGTTCCTTAACCTCACGTCTCTAATTAGCCACCACATTCTATAGATTCTACCCCTTCTCCCCATTATAGAAAGCATCATGATATGGGCTCAGGCATAGGCTGGCAATTGGGAGCACTCAGTTATAGAGTGCTGGATGAACCACGAACCAGCTGTGTCACCTTGGAAAAATTGTCACATTAAATAGGATAAGGAGACTGCCTGCTGTGATGACTACAGTGACCTAAAAGAATAGAATATTGAAAGGCTTCAGAATTCTGATTCATGCAGTGCCCCATCATGCCTTCAGAGGCAGCTGGTGGTGCAGTGGATAAAGAACTGGGCCTGGAATCAGGAAGACGAGTTTAAATTCAACCTCAGCTTCTTAATAGCGGTGTGACCCTGGGCAAGTCATTTAATTTCCCCATGCCTCAATTTCTTCAACTGTAAAATGGGGATAAAAATAGCACATATCTGTTGATGTGAGAGTCAAATGAGATCATATTTGTAAAAAGTGCTTAGTGCAGTACCTGATACATAGTAGATGCTATATATATGTATATATAATATATATGTGTATATATACATATATACAATATGCTTATTCTCTTCCTGTCTACCCCTACTCCCTTTCAGAAGACCAATGGAGAAGTATATCCCCTACTTCTTAGAAGAGAAGTGTGGAATGAGGAATATATGATGCATGGGAGGAATCTGGAGATGGGGAGCAGAAGGAGAGAGGCAGTAAGAAGTGACAGTGATATAGGAAAAAGTATCAACAAAACTTTTTTTAAAAAATTCACTTCCTTTATCAGAGCTGTGTTTTCATCATCTATAAAATAAAGGGGTGAGAATAGGTGATACCTATGGCTCACTTCTTAAGTTCTCTTTATTTTACAGCTTAATTCTTTAGGCTCTGATATTACATGAGATGCAGCTATACTGTATCTCTGGAAGCATATTTATGTTTAAAAAGGATCAACCTCTTTTTTAAGTGACAAGCTCATGGTCATTAAAAACATTTTGCAATTTTCCAGTAAGTAAGTATGACCACATTTTTCCTTCTGAATTCTGATACCAACTCATTGTTCAAAGTATCTGTCTAAGACATAAGTATTTTTGAACCACTTCTATGGATTATCCAGTCAGTCAAAAATATAGTCTAGACCTGAGTTCCAATCCTGCCTCAGATACTTAATAGCTGTGTAACCCAGGCAAGGCACTTTACCACATTCAGTGTCACATTCTTCATCTGTAAAATGGGGATAATAATGGCATCTACCTCCCAGGATTGTTTTGAGGATCAAATTAGATAATATTTGTAAAGCACTTTGCAAACCTTAAATAAATACTACATAAATGCTAGTTACATAGATATGTATATTGATAAATATATTATATATAATATTATGAATATAATATAATATATACACACATAGGTATGTATGTGTATACAATAGATATGTATATGTATGCACACACACACACACACACACACACACACAGAACTTCTATGTCCACCTTGGTATTAAAGTCACAAAATATTAAAGTATATGGTGATTTAATTGGAGGGTCTTATTTATGTCATAGGCTCTTTTGGTCTCCCTCTTGTGGGTACTGATTTACACTGGCCTTCCCATATTTGTGTACTAACAGAGAAAGTTCAAAACATGAATAAAGTTGTCAGAAATACTATTAGCAGCTTGCTATCTGGTCTGTTTCCCTCAATACAACACGAATGAATAGGACGGCATGACCTCTGACGTCCCTTCCCTTCAAGCTTCAGAGTTCTGAATGTTGTTTTGTAGACACCCAATGTGTATCACATGGCAGTGTATTTCCCTAGAGCTATGTGTGGCGCCTTTGGTTGTTACTTCTTGAGTTGTAGAAAAGAATGACAGTATTGGTGACAGGGCAGGACTGGGTACTTTAAGGCTCTGTTTCAGAAACCTTAGTAGACGTCAGGAAGCCCTAAGGACTCCTAAGTTTGAATCGACTGTAAAATGATCCTAACAGGTGCAGGATGACTGGGAATCCCAGTCACCAGGGGAGGGGGACATTCCAAGGTCACTCGATCATATTTAGTGACATGAAGAACAGGACGTCGTAATGGAGAAAAACCCTACGCTAGCCCAGGCTCAGCCACTGCATGAATTACTGTAAGAAACAGAAAAATCACCTAACGGTTCTGTGTATTTGCTCTTACAAAATTGAAGCAGTTATAACAGTTATATTATATTAATAGTATATGTCATATTAGTGGCATATTAATAATATATAACACTATGGCAATGATTATATATTATTTTAATAGCATATTAATAATGTGTAATATTATGCATTGTGTTACTAGTATATAAATAATATATAATATTATGCATTATGTTAATGGCATATTAATATGTGTTATGCTAGTAGTATATTAATAATATAATGTTATCATATATTATATTAGTTGTATATTAATAAAATAGTAACTATTATATATTATGTTGATAGTATGTACTTAGTACTTTAAGGTTTGCAAAACACTTTATACCTATTATTTCATTTGATCCTCTTAACAATCCTGCGAGATGAGTTCTATTATTATCCCTATTTAAAAGACAAGGCTGAGAGTGTTCAAATGCCTTGCCTAGGATCACACAGCTAGTAAGTGTTTGAGGCAGGATTTGAACTCAGGTCTTCCTGACTCCAATCCCAGCATTCCATCACCCAGAAACCTCTATGATGACTATCCCTTATCAATTCAAATGGATACTTGAATTTTAAAGCTGAAGAAGTCTTGAGAAACTAACCAATCTGGTACCCTTATACTCAAAAGAAAAAACCTGAGGCCTAAAAATAGGTTAACTCTTAAAAAAAAATTACTTGCTTAAATCCACAAAGTTGGAAGTACCAGCACTTGTCCCTAGCTCTCCTGACTCCAAATCCAATGTTCTTTCTACCTCATCGTTCTTGCTTTAGAAGACAACATGGTTGCCATAGAAGGGTCAGAGAGAAGAGCAACTAGAAAGGTCGAGCATGAAAAGAATGGGAGGATGGGAGAGAAAGCATCTTGGTGGGTCTAGGGTGATCAGTTAAATGACAACAGGCTTCAGGACTTGCTACTGAACCAGACCTTTTACATCTAGCTCTCTAGCGGTACACACTGCTTTGACAGATGCATTTTATATCTACAAAACAAAACTCATAGTTTAAGGGCTTTAAGGAACTTTGAAGATACCTAGTCCAAAACCCTCATTTTGCCAATGATCCAGAGAGGTTAAGTGATTTGCCTGGTGTTACACAGCCAGTAAGTAGTTAGGCTGAGATTTGAACTCAGGCTCTATGGTTCCAAACCCAGGGTTCTTTCCCACTTTTTTCACTCTGCCTCTCCTCTATAATTCTCCTGCTCGTTCTACAGTAATTAACAGGTATAATGATCGTTATATATATAATTTTCTTCCAAAATGTGCAATCATTGCAATCATTCATTAATCCCTGTGGTACAGTCATAGATATCATGCTGTTCTCATTTTGAAGTCTTGCATCTGGAGAAACATCCCTCACTGGTCCTCTTTTTGAACAGAGAAGTGAGTGGACAACATTTTTGTAATTGGAGGGGAGAGTATTCCAAGTGAAGGAAATTAGGAGAGTGAAAGGACAGAGGTGGAGGTAACCTTGAGCTGGCTTGACTAGAATGGAAGATGTGTGCTGGTGATTAATTCAAAATGAGGCTGGATGGGCAGGGTGGGGCTAGCTAAGGGAGGACCTTGAGAGCTAGGTAGAGAAATTTGTTCGGACAAGGCAATAGGCAGTAGTGGGCTAGAGTGGGATGTGAGAGTTCAAACGAGCTTATTGTCAAATTTTCAGTGGGAGCATTTACACCTTAGAAATTGGCAAATGCTACAAATCAGGGCTTGACTTATTGTTTTGTTGATTTTATTGTCTAGATTTAAGAAATTGATGGAAAATGTTAGTGCAAATTAAACTTAAAAGTGTATCTTGCTTCCTAAGGTACATTTCCTTCCCAGCTCTCCCCCAGCCAATTGTTAAACATTTACTAGGACACCCCTAGAAATGGGCAATGAGGAGTCCTGTGTGACCCTGGACCAATTTTACTGGGCCTCAGTTTCCTCATTGTTAATATAAGAGGGCTGGATTAGATTGTCACCAAAGTCCCTTCCTGCTTTTTGTGATTCTGCATTTTTTGCTCAGAAGTGTCGTCCTGGGAGATGACCTCCATCAAATGCAATGGGATTTTCCTCAGGAAGACTCATGCAAGGTCTGGACATGATTAGGTAGAATCCCTTGGGGAAGTATTATAGCCTTGTGAAAGACCACTGTGGGAAAATATGCCAACAAGTCTCTGGAATTCATTCAATGGGAGCTTTTTGGGCTCTGTCCCCTACTAGGAGAGGAAATCCCATGAGCAGTCCCAGGCATTATGAGATTCATTTGAGGAAGTGCAATTGGGCCACCTTGATAGGTGTGGTTTTCGGGGGAATGCCATCTTCTGGCACCCACCTCAATCAGCTAACAGGATCTGGTTAGGGTGGTGTCGGCTTCCTTCCCAAATGCAATGGTTCACAAAACCTCCACTCTATTCTTTGACAGTAAATTAGTCCAGCATTTTGGATCTTCTGTGGGATGGGCATTTCCCAGTTACAGAGAGCACCTACCTCCTCCCAGCCCTTAGCCCAAGGGACTTTTAGTATATTTCCAATACTGACCAAAGGCCAAGAAGACAGCCTGCTTAGAATTAATGTTGTCACCTTTTCCGGTTGAACTAATGTCACAACGAAATTCACTTCAGCTCTAGCAGCAGCATCTAGCATTTAGCACAACTTTGCAAACCAGGGAGAGCAATCTGCCAGCCCACACAAGTGATTAGCCAGTCCATATTATACAAACAGGGATGGGAGAGATGGACCAGTAATTTCAGTGGTAGAGAGACAAATGTAGGTCAGGACTCTCTTTTGTAACATATAGTCTTAGTGACCTAGATAACTCAGAGGTCAAATGACTTGATTGAGGTCACACAGTCAGGGACAGGACTTATACCAGGTCTCCCTGGCTCCAAGACCTGATCTCTATCTACTATACCACACTATAAATTACAGACACAAACACATATTTACATACATATAAACATATATTATGTGTATATTATGCACAGATAAATCACATACATTTCTATACACA